ATGCTGAGTAATCTTACAAACTGTTTCACTGGAGTTATCTTAGTCCAATTTTCTAAAGGATGAGAAAAACCTGACTGAATAAAAGAGTGGTCTTATGAAGAGTTTCTTTCAGGCAGAGGTCTTTAGCATTCTGTTCCTTGACTGATTTTAGATGAGGTTGAGTGTGAAAGGACAGTCATGTTTGGTTAGGTTTGGGACAAGAAGGGAGCTGATATTTGACCTTTGGCCCTGTGTCATGAACCCCTTGGGAGAATGAACATTTGCACTGCTGAGCACAGTGACAACATGAAGGCTTCTTCAATGGCCATAGGTGAATGAAAAATCAATTTCCATCCAATCCAATTTCAATTCCAGTTCTAAAACCTGATGAGGGTCTTGGAAAAGCCTTTCCTGCAGTGCAGAATAAAAACTGAATACTTTATACAGTGGAAGATAGACTCATGTAAGGTCAGAACTGACCAAGTGGGTTGGAATTCTTCCACAGTTTAGCTTCCACTGAGACTCAGGGATTCACTGGAGTGAACAAGTACTCAGGTCCAGCCAGCAGAAGCTGAAATACAACTCACTGTTCTCATATTTCATATGATGAGTTTCCTTTCAGAAATTTCAGAAGCATTGTGAAGCTTTTTGGTGAAAGGAGATATAACACCTGGGGTTTCTTTGCAGAGGTTAGAAAAGAACTAGTTTCTTTTCTCTTTTAAGTCTTAATTGTCACTCATCACTACCACTGTGTGAAATTGTGTCTGACTGAAAATGCATATAAAACATTCAAGTCTCTAAGTAATAAACCAGATTTACTCTATTATGTGGATGAATGCAATTTAAGGTGCTTGTCAGCCATTCTGTTATCATTAATAACCATATAACGATAATTTTGAATTAATTTCTATTCAGAATTTTCTCTTACATTGTACAGGAAATATTAATAAAATGTTTATGTATTAAGAAATGATGAGTTTAAAAAAAGGTAGTATTCCTCAAGATGCATTCCCTCTAGGAAATATTACCTTGCATATTTTTCAAACACATATTTTCATGGGCAATTTAAACATACTCTTTCTCTAAACAATATATTTCAGTGAAAATATTTACTTTTCTTGACAGGAAAAAAACCCCAAACTTGTTTTAATTACCCCTCATTAACTTACAATCAACAAGATTCATATATGCCCACTGAGAACACCCATGACAGAGAAAAACAAAGGGAAACCATAAAAGAGGCTAAGGGTAGGAAATTAGATGATAATACTATGTTGATGACAATGGGAAGAAAGGGAATTAGATACTTTGAAAAAATGCATGAAAAAATGTTACCTTAGTTCTGGTGTCTGTCCCAGGAAAAATATCAGTAATGTTATTAAGCTTTTAAAATAATATCCATACTACTTAAAGAATAATGCCAAGATGGAATTTGAGATTATTTTTGCTGTAGAGTTCTACTTGAAGACATACAGAGAGGACTTTAAAAAAAAAATCACATAATTAGATAATAACCTGTATTTACAACACAGTCTGTGATAAGATTATGAAGACTTTGATCCTGCATGAAAGTCATACTTGTCAATACATAATATTGCAGAAAAGCATTCTTTGTCCTCATGCATTGAATTTTTATCTACTACATTGATAGACTGTAAGTTTGTCTTCTTTAATTAAAAAACTTATGAAAAAATGGAATTGTAATCTGTGATCCAACTGTTATATCATCTGCAATCTGGTCTGTCATTAATAAATTTCTGCTTAGCTGCTTTCAGTACCACTCTCAAAATTGATTTCTAGAAGGTTCCTCTACCTAGCTGAAGATTAAACTGTAATTGCTCTGGATGATCAATGCCACCTACCACCAGTAAGTAACAAAATCAACCTTAGATTATAACAAGTAGGTTTTTTTTTATCACACAGAAGGGAAAATAACTTGATTATTGTAAGGGTGACAGGGATTTGGTCAGAAGGTGGAGGAAAGGGATGAAACTTAAATCTTTTGGGTTCTGATTGATTTTTCCTATTTTTTTACAAATTTTGTTGTAATGAATGAGGAAAAGGAAACAGCATTGTCATTGTCATGGTTAAAATGCTCTACTGCCTTTAGCTTTGAGTTAAATGCTCTCTATGCACAGCATCTGAGGAAATTTAGGACTCTAAAAATTGTTAGCTGCCAGCAGAAAAAATAGATCATAGGGTTTCTCTATTGATGTCAAAAAATAAAAGAAGCTGATGAGAAAATGAGAGCTGGGCTCCCTGAGATAGAGAGCGCTGGTGTTTGCACCAGAGGGAGGTACCAGGGCCCCAGCTTTTCCCAGTGCTGGATGCTGAAATTGGCTTCACTTTTCCTGCACAAGTGGTGGTGGAGTCCAGGGGCACTGTGCTCTGCTCCCCTCCTGAAATGAGCTCATGTCAGGAAAGGAGAGGCTCTGGCTTCCCATTCCATCAGGGGAAAAGCAGCAGCCCCTTGTCCCTGGTGAATGTGCCAGGCTCTGCTTTGGGCCAGGACCAGCCTCTGATGGAGCCTGCTCAGGGTTTCTGTCAGGTGAGAGTGTGTCCCTGCTGGGCTGACCAGGGGGAATATGAAGGAAGATGCATCCAGGCTTTTTCTGGTGACTTAGACTGTTGGCTTCCTATGCTTTCAGGGCCTGTGTAAGTGTAGGTATGTCTAAAATCTCCACCTGGACTTTTAAGTGTACAGAGATTCTACTGACCAGGGTGAAGCAGCAGTTGCAAGGGTGTTAGAAAGGCTTAAATTTTGTACCTCAATACCCAGTGCAGCATTTAGCCCTAAATACCTCTTCTCCCAGGAACTCTCTTTGTTCAGCAGCAGAATTTTCTGCTTTGCTATCCCTTCTGATCCTGGTGATAATGTTCCACACAGGAAGTTGAAGAAGGATTAAAATTTCTTTTTCAGGTATGCAGTGAACATTCCAGATTCATCATTTTTGTACTCTTATACTGCTGGAAAAAAAGGATCACTAGCTAGAAACCCAGCCAAAACTACTACATCTGCAAATATCTTGGTGTTCAGGAAGCAAATTTACCTAATTGTTAGGTCCCTATTGGTCCAAGTCAGCCAAATAATCAGAAATTAATAAACAGCTAACTCATTCCTAGCAGAGGCTAAATATGGATCTAAACAAGGAAACCTAAACTGAAAGGTTGTCATGGTGATGTACAGGAGACTAAGCAAGCAGTGCAAAACTCCTCTTCCTGGGAGACCTGAGAGACTAGCTCAAATTTTTATCTGCCATGCTTAATTTATCTTTTCACTGAAACACTTGTCAACTCACAAAATGTGTAGAAGGCTTGTATCTGGTACCTTTTGTCTTTTGAGGGAACAACAGACTTGGCTTCCAGATCTATTTCAGATTCAGCCTTACTTAAAGAGGAAAAAAATATTTTTGGGAGTTTTTCTGCTATTTTTGTCCTTTTACTATTTATAAGGGCAATTAAATATTGAGATTACTTCCTCTTAAGCATGTTTTCATGAGGCCACATACTTTAGTATGTCTGACTTACTGAGTTCTCTAAGAAAGGGAGAAGGAAAGTAGATTCTTGCAAAATTCATGCATGCACAAAGTTAAATTAGAGATCTGGTTGTCACAGAACAGAGAAGACTTACATGTTTTCAGTCTTGGAGCTACTGCTTGTATGGAAAAGAAAATAAGGACTAAGCATCAGCATGTGACTTAATAGGTGTCAGTTAAATAAGTATTGGTTTTAAAGTAATTTGAGCTTTAAAATATTTTATTTTCAGTATTCCATCAAGTAATTTGATTGTTTAGAGCAAGCTGTTGGATTTCAGTGCTTTTTGGGTTAAGCTCTTGCTCTGAGTTCAAATGCCTCTGAACCAGAGTGTATGACTACTAGCTGGTATATTATTGAGGTTCAACTACTTAATAAGTTAATTTCTCATCTCAGAAAATTCAAGAAAATATGACAAATGTCAGGCTAAGCAGAACATCTGGTAATTCACATCTGCATCTTTTTAAGAAGCAATGACAAGAGTTTAGAAAAATGGCTACAAATGAAGTTCTATTCAAGTAATTGGAGGTACCCAACAATACATTTAAATAAATTGGTCACACTCTCTTGATTTATGGTTTCTTTCTAAGCTTAGACAGACTTTGTATGCTACAAAACTAAATTTAGGGAAGATATCACTGCTTTGATATAAATTGAGATGCCACAAGTACTTCAGCACCACAGTAAGATCCTGGTTTGCTCACTTTTACAAACAATCTAAAAAAAGCACAGGAATGTCAGCATAATGCAGACACTGCTCCTGCTTATTCTTTGCTTTCTGAAGTCAACAGGAAGCTTCATGAGAGTAGGGAGTGTCAATCCCAGGGATGTGGAGCCCCCTCTGGGAGGTAAAGTGGACAAAATGGGTCTGGGAGCTTTGATTTGCAGATTTTCCATCTCCCTGTAATTATCTTGGTGGGAGATCCCATTAGGCAGGCTGGGATCATGGGATGTGAGTGGTGAGGAGAAACAGGGAGGTTCTTAGAAGCTTCTGTCATGATGTTTCACTTCAGAAATGTTGATGTAAAACAAAAGTGTTGGAAGGAAAATGTCCATGTCAGGCTATGCAGGAACCCCCCTGGCTTGGGGTTTAGGTGGCATTTCTGAGAGATGTAAAAGGTTTTTATTTTTGGTTTTCCTAAAATTTGTAATATTTTTCTTACAGAAAAATATTACAGATGTATCACCTGTGGTTTCCTACTATTCTTTCTCTATTGAGCCTTCATAAATTTTAAAGTGAATGAATTATTAAATACATCTTTTATAGAGATCTAGTTAAAAGGGGTTACTGTATTTTTTTCCAATGACATCCATAATTAACAACATCCTTTCTCTTTTATTTTGCAAGTTGTACAAATTCCTTGGGAAAAATAACCATTGACTATTAATTCTTAGGGAGCTAAAATTCATGCTTGCATCAGAGGGAATCTCCACAAACTGACCATCCCTACACTTTACCCTTTCATGGAGAAAAGCTGCATATTTACCCCTTTTGTGTAGCAGAATACTGGCATGGCGGCGTCCGTTCCCATTCTCCACGTAGCAGGAATAATTTCCTAGGTCTGCCTCTTCAACCGAGTCAAGAATCAATGAGATGGAAACCTCCTGTTCCCCAAGATGTTCCTTGAGAACCCTGAGGAAAAAACAACCATTGCTGCTGTTCTGCTTGTACCACAGTGAAGCTTTAGATAGTCATGACAGAACAATGCTACTTACAACTCACAACTCTCTGGCTTCAAATCTGGCTATGGTTTGATGCAATCTTAATTTAATTATATCATGCCCTTTTCTTCCTCACTTCTAATAAGGAGGTTTGGCTTTGTAAATGTTAATGAGAGCTGCAGTTCATTGTCTTCTTAAAGAAGAATGATATGCACATGGATAATATATCATTGCACACTTTGATGGAGACTCTGATCCATGAATCTTGGAACAGTAGAAGAGAGAAAACTGAAAACAGTTATTCTGGGGTTTTAGACTCACACCAGGAGCCTGGGCCAAACACAATATTTGTCCTTTTTCTGAGGCTCTTCAACATGCCGCTCAGGAACAACATGTTCATACCATGGTAGGAGAGATAATTTCTGGGATGCATTATAAAATTTTATAATGTTTTATCAAACAGTAGGAAGAACCGGTACACCAGGTGTCACTAGCTCATAGAGATTATAAATAAAAGGCTTCCTGTGTAAGACTCCACCTGTCTTCCCATTACTTTCTTTCCCTCTTAACAAGACCATCAGTGGTTTCAGGAACTCAGGAAAGCAAATGACAAATGATTGCAGGCCTGACAAATGAAATGGAAATGAGCTTTTCTGCTCCTCCCTCCGCAAAACAAGAAAGTTATAACAGGTTTATTGTCACTTTTTTTTTGTCAGTCATCAGCTAGTTAAGTCACTGGCTGAAGGACTTGGGAAAGTTTTAAACACAAAATATAGCTGAATTTATTGTCACATGCCATTTAGTTTATTGATCTTGACTTTTGTCGAATAAACTTGAAGTACACTGGGGTGAAACACACTTTCTTCTTGCCTGTGTCTGGGGATCATGACCTTGAAGGTCACTGAGGTCTACTTGATTTTGCTAATTGTGATTGTATAGTGCATAATTTCTTTTTCTTGGGTTCTATTCCTCTATGTCTCATTTTCATTACAATTATTATTAGTAATATATGTTTACTATTATAATTAGTGTTATTGCTACTATTATAATCTCTTATTTTGTCTCAATTATTAAACTGTTTTTACCTCAACCCACAACTTCTATTCTGGTACTTCTCCCCACCTGAGGGGGATAACAGGGGAGTGAGTCAGTGGCTGTGAGGAACTTACTTGCTGGCTGAGGTTAAACCGTGACATGCACACTAAGATTTGCCTGAATTTCTGAGTTTCAATTTCTGTGATACATAGAAACAGTGATATTCACACACACAGAGTTTAAATGAATAAGGAATCTCTTCAGATCCAAGCAGATATTTCACATTGGGTAGGATTTAGTAAGCTATGTCAAGCATGTAATTCTCAATACGAATCCACATTAATTTCTAAATGAGGCAGCACTTTTAGGAGCAGTAGAAGTATATGGCATGAATTGCCAGATCCTCTCCCAAACAAGTATTTCAGCAGATATAAGCAGCCCACATAACAGGATGCTTGGCTCTCACAAGCCAGATAACATCCCAGGAAACTCAGGTTTTTTTCATGATGAAATCAAAACATTCCAAAAGGGAAGTCAAACTTCACCATTTATTTAAGGTTTAATGTTTGAAAATACTTTTTATGCTGATTTTCTGAAGATATTAATTTTTCTTTATTTCATCTTACTAAGTGTCCTAGTGATTGTTTTTGTAGATTGCCACCTTTTGAAAAAGGTAAATTCCAGCACACATTTTAAAAAAGGTAAATTCCACCTGGTCAACATTACATTGGGTAGCTATTGGGTAGCTATTCTGCTATTCTGCTTTTGCAGGTCTCTAACATCAGATTTGGGTGAGGATGGCATTTTTCTGTTCTCTACTGGTGGAGTCAAATAGCATGTGGATGATGTTGGAAAAAAAAAATATCAGACCCAATATGCTCGTTGGTTAGTCTGTGATAAAAAGTGTAACATTAACTATCAAAAAAATACAGAGAAAAAAAGAAAAAACTTTTTTCTTTTACCTAATGTCACTTTCCCAGACTCGATTATCATCCAAATCTTCAATAAACTTCTCCCCTTTCATCCAGTAGATTAAAGGACTGACATCTCCACTGTATCCAAAGAAAGCTCTGCAGGTTAGATTAGCAGAACCACCTGTTGCAAAAAACGTAAGAAAATATGTTTATTTCAAAATTTAAAATCAGTTGCTTTTTAAAAACCAAAATATTCAGAGGGTTCCTCAATTTCCAGCTGTTGTTGAAAGTTTCCAAGAGTATCTGCTTGTCTTGACACAATACATTTTCTGAAAATAAATGCAATAAAAATGAAATTAAATTATATGTAAAAACAAGATTAATTTTTTTCAAAACATTTTCTGTTTGGTAAGGACATCAGAGATCATTTCTTTTCAAAAGGAGCTAACTTAATTTTTTTTTTTCTCTGAAAAAGATAAAAGTTAGGTAAAATAGACATGCAATTTCATCTGTGTTAGTTCAGCCTTGCAATGCTTTCTGCAAAGAGGCTGGTATATTCCTGTCCAGTTCCATTCCCAAGGGATTTCTGGTAGAAGGATGTGTGCTCATTGCTACACTTTAGCAGGAAAGTTTGAAAAAAGCTCCTGTGAACTAATTCTGAACATTACAATCCATTAGAATGGGAAGAACCATTAGCAGAGCATGCAGCAGGGAGCAGAAATTTCATATATATGCACAGCACTACTTATTTAATCATTATAATGAGGATTTTAAAAACTAATATGCCTTTGCTTTATTTTCATATGGAGCCTTACATTGTGTTTGTACCACTTGGCTTTGGGCTTTACCTTGGGCACATACAGGGATTAAATGGCCACTTACACAATTTTTGTGTGTTGGCAAGACTGGATAAAGCAAGAGGACAGACACAGCTGAAGATCCCCCACTGGCTGCTCTAAAGATATCTGTCCCAACATGCACCAACTCTTCTAAACTGCCACATGCATTCCTTTAGGGCATAATTACACAGTAACTTAAGGAAGAGTGGGGATTTAAGAAGATGTCTTTTCCCCTCATGAAGAGAGTATTTCCATGGAGTTTATATTACTGCTAAGACCAAATTAACATTTTATTGACACTTTCAGTTTTTAATTTTTGGAGTTTAACGCTAACAGACCACAGCTCCTGGACAAAAAATAAGAGAAAAGCGTTTTTACCACTACTACATCTGTACCAAGATGCCATAAGCCCATCTGGGTTCAATAAATTTCCTCAAAAATACACTGTTCTTCTAATTTCCTCAAAAATACCAGGTTCTGTCAGGACTTGGTCTTTCTCAGACATACAACATTAATATTTGAATTTCATGTTTACTTTTTAGCATGCAAACAAATGCAGAATTCTGTGTAACAAGAAGACAAGTAATTATTAAATAAATGTCTTACAAAAGACTGGCTTGAACTCTCACATCCATGGCACGAAAGGTACAGAATCAAATGTTTTTGTTCCAAATGTGCAACACCAAGGCAAATACCATTTCTGCTACTTTCACAATCTGTTTTGGAACTTTAGGATCTCATTTTATTTTAGTCATTTCAGGAAGGTTTGGTTGCTACCATACCTTTTGCAAGCAATGGCTGCTAAGGAGACAGGAGTATTCCAGTACTTGAAACTAGGATGGAGAGAAGGGTCTCCTTCATAATCAAAAAGTATGAAATGGAATCTCTTAATAATGAGAAATTTTAATAATCTCACTTAGTCTAGAGCAAAGCTGCCACATATAAGTTGAGTTTCTTCAGAGAGAAGGCAAAGACTCTCTTTCTAAAAACAAGCATAGCTCCTGTTTTCAAACCCCAGGGAGCCATGGTCAGGACACCTCCCTGGAAACAATTTCTCAATCTCTTCATGGCTCAAGAAGTGCAATTTGGAACCCCTGGGAGAAAGATTTTTGCAATCTTGAAGCCATTTGAAGGGAATGAGACGAGCACGGGGACATATTGTGGTTCAAGTGCATGAAAACCTGTAGTGGAACAAGATCAATTCCTTGGTTCCTTGCCATGCAAACCTGGTTTCTTACAGCAGTTGCATTGCAGATATATTCCAAGTAGAGGGTGGGGGGTGGTGGGATTGTTTGGTTTTGGTTTTGGGGTTTTTGTTTTGGTTTTGCATCATAATTATGATGCTTGAATGTGTGAAAATGAAAATATAAAAGCTTAAAGGATTATGAAAGTCTTGGCCACAGTGGGATCTGTGCACTCTTGAGATGGGAGAAGGTACCTGCACATGTAAAGCCAAAGCAGGCTTCTGTGATAATTGGAGAACCCCTATGGCATTATCCACCAGACTCAGAGTGCTACCTAATGCATCACTGCCACTTCTTGGGCTTTTTCCAGGGCTTTCCTACCAAGCCAAGGCTTGGTTGAAACTTTATAGCTTTTAAGAGCTGGCAAGATCACAGTTAGAGAGACTGTAACTTCTGGCCAATTTATCCATAATTCACAGAGATTAGACACCACGGGTGCTGGACCATTAAAGCTCTCCAGGCTCCTGCAGCTAACAGGTACCCCTGAGACATGATTTTTGCTCTGGCTGGGCTTCTGAGCCTTTTATAGATGAATGTTATGAGCATAGATTTGTTTTTCAAAAAATAAACATCTTCTGGTAAGAGCAAAACTTAACAAAACCAGAGAGTTTTTAAGATTAAGGTTGTTTTCTTTATTAAATTCTTAAAGAAGTTTTCTCCCTAAATAAAACATGCAAACATATCTTCAAGTGTAGAATCTGAAGTCTCCATTCAACGTGAAAAAGTTGCAAGTGAGAAATGTATTAGGAAGAATGTAATGCCACTTAGTAGTACTGTGTTGATTGCAGGTACCCAGGGAAGGCCATTAGCATGCTGGGGCTTCAGCTATAAATTAACTGCTCTGTCTATCTTGAGCAATCTTCACAATAAGCCAGTGGGATGTTCATTAGCTGGCCATCAAGGAAGATTCAGTGACCAGCTAATGACCAACTGTGACCATTAATAAGGGGCTCTGTTATCCAGAGCTCACAGCTCTGTGCAGAGGGCATGGGGCTCCCTTGGAGAAGCAAAGAGGCTTCCAGCTGCAGGCACATGTAAATAAAACCTGACTGCAGGGCCATGCTATGAATGGACTCAGTATTTGGGGAGCACATCTTGATTTCTACTCCAGAGCTGCCATCATGAGAGTGAGTGATTGAGTGTTGTAGGAGGGGCTGTGCTTTTCTCTAGATGTTCAGCTTTGAAGTGAGCAGGCACAATCTCAATTGTGGCACCAAGCAGCTGTTCTGCGTGGACAATCTGCTTTTAAAAGTCTGCAGATTTGTAGAAAACATGAAAATTTGTAGGAAACACATAACAAGTAGCAGAGCTGCTTTGCTTCATCTTTAAGCTAAGGTATAAACAACCTGTCAATCAATTAATAGAAATCCCTCACAGTTAACCTTAGGCAACTCTTTCTCTCCATGTCTTTTCTGTACTGAGAAAAACTAGAGGACAGATCTGAAAGTCATACAAGTTTCATGAAAGGATATATAATGATTTCTATGCCATTAGTTTAAATTTTTCTGTAAATGCTGGATTACTACAGTTTTACAGCCTGTTTTTGAAGGATTTTAATTTTGTATTTTAAATTTACTGAATGTTTTCAATTAAATTACTAGGGAAATTAATCTATTTCTGTCCCCTTTGCTATAAGATGTAAATTCAAGTTACATCCTGGGTAAACTGCTTTGTTTTGTTTTGGGTTTATTTGTTGTGTTGCTTTTTTTTTTTAATTCATATTTTTTTAATGGACCCTGGAAAAATCCAAAGGCGTCAGAATAGAATTATTAAGTGAAACCTACAGTGTTGCTATTTTTATTGGCATCCCCTCAAAACAACAAACAGAAAAACAAAACAACTTAAAGAAAACATCAAGAGAAAAACAACACTTTTGACTTCTCAGTATAATTATAAATTTTTAAACTGTGAAATAATGCACCAAAGACATGCAAGAGGACACATAAGAAGTGAATTCAACTGCGCTTTTCTCCATCACCTTTTTTTTTCTGATGAATATGCTCTTAGAGTATTGAGTTTATTTTTGTAAAAATTGGAATGTATAGCCCTACATTCTGCTGCTTCTCCCTGTGATAAAGTCACACTCAGCTCAATCCAACTGGGTTCAAATTTAATTAGTAAAAAGCTCTTTGCCATCCGAACTCAGACCTGTTTTTGTTGCACAGTACGCTTCCAAGTAGAGCAGAATGCAGGAAGGGACCACAACAAGGTATTCTTCCTTGAAATCAGCAAACATCTCGAGCAGAACAATACAGATTTTGTGTTCATTTTCACAAATTACCAACATTGGGGGCTCTTTGCTAAATACTGCTGGGGGAGCCTGTGCCCAGCAGAGGGCACTGTCTAACTTCCAAACTTTATTTAAAAAAAAGGAATTTCCTAGTGAATAACTTCTCATTAAAGACATCAGCCTGCTAAGAACGTGCTAGCTGTAATTAGAAAATAGTGAATGTTTTGTGATTGCTGAAATGCCATCTTGTGTGGTCAGCTGAGATTCCACTCACACAAGTTACCCCAGAGAAGGACAGCACCTTCCTCTCCTTTGAGTTGACAGATTCTTCAGTGAAGGGCAACCATTTTTGGTTGGCAGCAACTGTAATAATAAAAAATGCTCCGCAACCTCTTTTTAGAAGATCTCTCAAAAACATATTATAGAAGTGTTTGAGAGCCATGTTCAACATCTAGTAATATTGAGGGCCAAAAGACTGAAAATGTTAAGTGCACTGAAATGTGGGACTTTCTTTTACTGTACAATGTAAACCATTTGTACAACTTATGTGCAGGAAATACCTAGGCAATACCTACACACTTACAAGTATGCCATTTATTTGTAATGTTAACTTCTCAAAACGAAATTGTAAAAGGTCAAGACAGATGCAATCAAAATCTTGCACACAGGAACTAAATACTATTATTTCCGTTCACATTTGAGGAAAAAAATACTGCCAAATTATCAGTCTTCCAAGTGGAGGGCTGTGAAAGCTGGTAACTTCCTAGGTGTGACAGATCAGCAGTGACAGAAACAAGTCCATGACCCACTTGTTTTGCCAATGTCATCTGACAAGGCCAGCGGGCAGGTAGGTAGAAGCTGCTCTCAT